AATTCAATCAATTAATAACCGGTAGGAAATAATAGCATGGTATATAATGAAACAAAACAAGAAAACTGAAATAAAATATATATATATATATATATGATAGTTGAATTCAAGACAGGAAAGCGTGCAAAAATAGTAAATTTTACAGTATTGCCTATTAAAAAACATAATAAAACTTACAGGTTTTAACTCAACTGAACTCAAATCAGCCTTAATCCCAACTATTTGGGGTCAGCCATATGAAAACCTGAAGTTCCCTACTTCATAAAGACATGATATCTAATTAAATGTTAACAAAATACATCATACTCGTCAAGTATGATCTACCACATTTAACTAATTACTTCGTGCTGGATATTAGTTAGGAAATCGCATCCATTATAAGAAGTGGTGGTTAGTTTTGATGAAATAGATAGTATTTAAATTTAAAACATGAGTTGGAGGAAGATAAGGAATCTTCCAGAAAACTGTTCTTCTTCCTCTTTTTAAAGACTTACATTTGTATTGTTTATTTTCCTTCCATAATTTTTAACTCACATAACAAGTAAGGAAAACCATTCGCGTAAGTAATGTAGTTCAGACATACTTCGGCATAAACTTATTTCAATTGACAGTACAAACAGCTCAACCTTGCCAAAAAAAAATGATAAAGGAAAAAAAAATGACCTGGAGCAAACTGGTCGCGTAAGTAATATAGTTCCTCATCCTCCCCTGAGTGGTTATCCGAATCTCGTTCTCATTTATCGGCGTCTCTGCCCTTGGCTTCTCCACCCTCTGGTATCGATCCATCTAACATCCCGAACAAGGAAACACAAAAAGCAATCAGGAGAGCAAATCACTTCAGCATCAAAGCCTAACTAGTAGGTTTTTCAAATATAAGAGGAACAAAAGGGGGGCGAGGAGTGTTAAATCCGCAACAGTAACCCTCCAAAACCTTAAAAAACAAACTCCGAATACAAGGAAAGCAGATCTGAAACAACAGAAACACTATAAACAGCGAAGAAGCAATTGAGTAAAAAACACAAAACCAGTAAAGAATTAGAGTTAGGGTTTAGGGTTTTGTTGGCACCTCTGTGTCTCAGCGAGTTCGAAGCGAAGGGTATGTCTGACTGACACAGTGAACCCGCTCTAACTCTCCGTTCTCACTCTCTCTCTCTCTCCTTCTCCCGCCGATAGCACACTCTCTGGCTATTTCTTTCTTCTAAATTCCGCTCCAAAAGCCGCAACCGACGCCCTCTCTATCCATTTTATAGCGGGGAGACAGAGACCGCACCAGACGGTTAGCCGGTAGGGCTTGCTTAGCAACGCGGTCGTATCGCCCTCGAGACCGCCTGCTTTCGCTGCCTGCGTGGACTGACGACGTGTTCTACACTCTGATAGGGTGGGGCCCGCATAGTCGTTAGAGAGAGAGTGAGAGACCACAGGAATAAGCTCAGTTTCGTGGCGTGGGTGTGAATGAACGAAGGGAACCACCTAACGCTATTTGCCAGGTGTCATATCCAGGTGTCCCGGAATCTGTAATTTTTAATTGCTTGACCAATTATTATTATCATGCGCTAAACGTAGATTGATTAGGGTTTTTCATGTTGTTGTCCCCATCATCAAGAGTTTTCAAATTAGGATTTAAAAAAAAAAAAAAATGCCTTCTAAAAATATTAGGATAAAGAGCGGAGAGGACAGTAGCGGCGGGTGGTCCTCGACCGTTGTAACGGGGCAACGTCCCTCATTTCTTGAAACAGTAGACAGATTATCCATTATTTTTCGGTACCCTTGGTTTTTTATATTCTACAGATGCCCCTCAACTTTTCTGAAATTACATTTTTATTTTGAAAAACTGTAACGAATTTTCGTATGTAAGGTTTTAAGGTTTTTTCTCATTTACCCAGAAAAAAATGTACCATTCTGTGTAGGTTAATTTTTCACCTTATAAAAAGAAAACAAAATTAATCAACCTATAATGTTCTTAAAAAACCATGAATAAGTGGTTGGAGTAATGATAACATAATGGTAATATAAAAAAATATATAATAATAAAAGAATATGGATAAATACATTTATCAAGAGGAGTGTTATATAAGAAATGCTTACTTAATACTCAATTTAGAAGGAGTACAAATACAAATATCTAGATTCTAGGGTGCAATACATGGTATTTTTATATTATTTTGTATTTATTTATAATTTATTTGTAATCTTTCCAAACTGAGCCCTAATCAAGTAAATAATTTATCAACAAACAATGAGGCCAAAAGGTAGCCAACCTTAAGCTTAGAGCGGGTTGATCAGGTTGGGTTAAGTTCTACCAAACTTTCAAAGACATTCTAGAATCATTTCCTTTTTTCACTTTTTTTTTTTATTTGGTGAATTGAACATTGAACCAAATGGCTGAGCCATCTAAATCATACTCCAATCATAAAAACAGTTCTACGTTAGGTCTAGGCCTGAGATCATTGATACAACTACAAGGGTAATGGATGAGGGTAGATTTGTCCAACACATCAACCCGAATCCAGACCAACTCTACATTGGGTTGGCATTCTAAAGCTGTAAGCCTTTAAACCTTGAATGATATTAAGTTGGATTTAAGTTAGGGTTGTACATGGGTCAGTTCAGTTTGATTTCATTTATTTGTGTCTACCCAATCCAACATTACAACATTGTGAAGTTGATTATTAGGCCAATCAAAACTGAGCTTTAGAACTCACCACCTTGGGTTGTGCCACTCTGGTTTGGTCGGTTTGTTCCATTTTATGAATAATTCAGGTTTATTTGACCTGAATCCCCCATCAAAGCGGATGGCATACCTCTATTTTCAGGTTACCATTATTGAATATTGACTCCATTCTTTATTTCGTCTCTTAGCCAAAAACTGAAAGTATTCTATCATCTTCAATGTCAAAAGATGTCTAAAAACTGAAAGTACTCTATCATCTTCAATGTCAAAAGATGTTTTAACCTTTGGCCAAAATTAAATATCTCACAACAATGACAAATCCAAGGTCTTTGATGAGTGGAGCAGTCATTATCATAACATCATCAACAATGACAAAATTAAATATCCCAACCTAACCCCAATTTTAATATATATATTAAAATTTTCTTTTAGTTTAAGTAAATTTATGTTTCAAAAAATCAGTTAATTAAAAATTTTCGGGGATTCAGGTCGTCACGGTGAACCCGCTTCCATTAGGGATGAGGGATGAAGGACAACTTTCATCCCAAGTAGGAATTGGGGTTGAGGACAAAGACTTATCTCAAAATCGGGTCAGGATGGGGAATATCATCCTCCCCCTAGGGGTGAGAAAGAAAATTAAAAAAAAAAAGAACGTAACAAAAAATTCTGGTTAATCGAAACAGTCAGTTTGGTATTTTTGAAAAACCGAAAGTATCGATTCGTTTTTGGTTAACCAATATAAAAAACCGAAGGGTATACATATATTTAATGTATATTGTGTATATATATATATATATATTATAAATTAATAAATGGAAAAATTCCTTATTAGTACGTTGTACTTTGAGCATAGTGCCACTTTGATCCTCAAGCCTTAAAATGTGACAATATAGTATTCGAACTTTCAAAACGTGCCAATCTATTACCTACTGTTAACTAGCCCATTAACCAATTGTTAAGTGGCACTTGAAAAGACACAAATACCCTTCAAATGTC